TATCCAGCCATTCTAGCTGTAGGAGCCACTTTGAGCTGTCCTTTTGTTTCAGTATACTCTATTTATCTCTTCTGTAAGCTCTTTGGTTGCTGTTTTGGCTTTTATAGCATTTTATCATAGGAATATTCTCATCCATTGGCAATTCCCGTTTTTCTAAATTTTGCTTTCAGGAGCCAAGGCGCTTGCCCCTCCATTGCCATGAAGACAGAAGTGTATTCAGCTGAGTCCTATGACTAGTGTCTATCATCAGAGTTAGTCTCAGTCCATCAGAACCAGGTACGGTGGAATAACTCACTCAGTTGTCATGTTGCAGCTGGAGTGTGGATGATTATGACCATCTTTTCACTTCTTAAAACCATAGGATTGGTCTTTAATCACATGTAAGAAGCATTCCAAGAAACATAAGTGTGCTGGAATAGCTCAGCATCATGTAACTAGCTCTTAATAGTAACATCCAGTATGAAGTAAAACACTTCCATCGTTACATGATTTTAATATTTTATTTATGATAAAAATTGATGTCAATTACAATAACTATCTTTGTTATCGTTAAAATAGTTTCTAATTATTGTGTATATACTGTTAATATCATAAAAGTATGAGTAAATGCATAAATAGTCGTCTATACAAATGCAATGTAGTGACCTAGTGATAACAACAATAATAGTTTTAGCAACAACACCCATAATGTTTTTTATAATTTAAATAATAAGTAAAACTGTTGGGAGAGGATACAAATGGTTTAGAGCCATGAACGAGTCCTGAATGTGACGATTCCTCTCTGCAAGTATTGGATAGCGACACGGGGTATTAATATGACATGAGGTGCTCATACAATACAACCAGTGAATGTACAGATAAAGAATGAGCTCTTGCATGCCTCAACTATCTATAAAAGAGCCAACCTATAGTTTTAAGAAGTGAAAAGATAGTCATAATCATCCACACTCCAGCTGCAACATGACAACTGAGTGAGTTATTCCACCGTACCTGGTTCTGATGGACTGAGACTAACTCTGATGATAGACACTAGTCATAGGACTCAGCTGAATACACTTCTGTCTTCATGGCAATGGAGGGGCAAGCGCCTTGGCTCCTGAAAGCAAAATTTAGAAAAACGGGAATTGCCAATGGATGAGAATATTCCTATGATAAAATGCTATAAAAGCCAAAACAGCAACCAAAGAGCTTACAGAAGAGATAAATAGAGTATACTGAAACAAAAGGACAGCTCAAAGTGGCTCCTACAGCTAGAATGGCTGGATAAAAGAGAAGATTGTTCAGCCTGTCTTTCCTCCAAAAATCCGCCATTTTACCACCACCTTGGGTGCGCGTTAATTAGAATCGCTTAAGTGCAAAAGGTCCATTATTTACCTCGAAGCATAGCTATGGCGTCTGGAGTAATCATTTTTAGCAGAGAAAGCAGCAAAGAACATCTAAAAGAAAGAAATAGAGCCTCAAAAGCATTGGGCCATGTGATAAACTTCTTAATGGGTGGAGTGGAATTGGAAAGGCGTGTTCTGGGCGTGTTTTACTGTACACACATGGCGCGAGTGAAGAAGAGATTTTCCCGTTTCTTTTAAGAAGATACAAAGAAGTAAAGAGGCCTTGTGCTTTTATAAAGCCTTGCTAATCATGGGCAGTTTCTTAGCTACAGATTTGGCATGGTAGAAGTCTGTTATACACCTCGGTCTCGGTTGCTATGGGTTTATTTACCTCGGGACTGCGTCCCTCGGTAAATAAATCCCATAGAAACCTCGACCTCGGTGTATAACCTATACATCTATGGTTTAATTGCAGCCCATTGAGCACCGCCCATTCATAGAGTTGATAATGATTGTGTTTGGTGCAAGGCGAAAGCTTATTCTAGCGATTGTTTTTTTGTTTTTGCTCGTCATTGGAGTTGTTAATAAACTCAGACAGCTGCCAAACTCTATCGTGAACCAGTTAGAAATTGAGCACAGAAGTCATCAACCTAAGAGATCATACTTTCTTCCTGAAACAGGAAGTCAAACAAATCCCCACCAGAATCCAAGTACTTTATTTCAGAATGAATACTGGTTATTAGGCGAGGAGGCTATTTTAGAGAAAATGCAGCGACCTTCCAGAAAGTTATCGGATTTTGAATCCGCTGGCAATAATATAATGATTGCCATCAGAACTACAAAAAAGTTTCATCAGAAACGATTGCCGTATTTGTACGATACTTGGCTTAACAAAGTGAATGGTAGCAACGTGTTCTTAGTGACTGATGCTGAAGATGAGGAGTATCAGGAAAGGAGCAAGCAATTAGGTTTGTGTAGGGTCGGTGGTTTTTAATTGATTAATTTGATTATTTTTGCAATTTAGGTATACACTACGTTGTTTCATCACTCTGTGGCGAGAGTTTGTTATGGCCAATACCAAGTAGGTGGTATTTGTGCTGTAGAACCGGTGAAGCACTGACTCTGATGTATAAACCACAGAATATTCAATACGAGTGAGAGGAATTGTAGTACATTTTAGATTACATTTCTTACATTAAAATAATAAAAAAACAATTGTCAAGTAGTTTTAAAAAGTAGGAAATGCATATAGTAACAACCCAAAGGTGAAAACAGTTTGATAAAATGACTACAAAAATTTCCATTTTTATAATTTTTTTCTGATACATATGCATGTACTTATGTTGTGTTTTAAGTTTGAACTGATTCCAATCAAAATTGGATTTTTTACAATTTCATAGGACAGGGTCATTGGCCAAACTTTGTCAAAATGACTAGAAGAGAATTCTGCATTTTTATCAATTTTTTCTGATACAAAAAAGGGCCTAGCTGATAGTTTGTGTTTAAACAAGGATGGCATAATTGTTATGACATTTTAACTTTTCTCTAGTTGGTTTTGTTATCTTGATGATGATATTTATCTAATAATGGAGAATCTTATTAAACTGATTGCCAAGTTTCCAAAGGACGAGCTGTCTTACATAGGAAGACCTGGGACTCCTTGGGAAAAGCCACACAAAGTTAGTAATAAAGCTATATAAATCCTATAGACAAGCTCTAATAAATGCAGGTATCTGAAAAGCAAACACTGATTAATGTAAGTAACATCAATCTCTGTGTACATTAGTTTTAACACATACTTCATGCAGAATAGCACTAGAAAGCATTATCATTTTGCATCAGGAGGCTTTTATTGCCTTTCAAGAACAATACTGGATAAAATTAAGCCATGGATTGTGTAAGTCTTGATTACCAAAAGTAATGGTTTATGTGAGTTTAGAGGAGGACATAACCTAGGTGATACTTGTAGACAATTATTGGAACCAGATGACTTAACTATTGGATGTGCTGTTGGTAAGTTATAATTATGATGGAATATACATAAACCATGCACATCAGTATAATTGTACATAATCTAAGTATCTGGTATTATAATAATGCCATATAGAATTGCTTGGAGGAGGGAAATTATCAAGGACACTGCTGTTTCATCATCATGGAATGAATTTGGCAAAAGCTGTGAATGCAAATACATTAAAAGATCAGGTATTAATCAATCGATGACATTTTATGTTCTCTTTTCTATTCATATGCTACAGATTGCCATTCCCTATGGATGTGGTCAAATGTGTAAATATGGTGGTATTGTTGATAATGCTATTGAAGTTCCTAATGCTGCGTTTTCATTTGATGAAGACCCTTCACGGTAAACAAGTTTTAAAAATAATTTCATGTCACAGTTTGTGCTGTAGGTTTAGGTCACTTCATTGCCATCTCTATCCTCAAGCAACTATTTGTAAATAAATAAATAATAATTTTTTAATGAAAATTATTAATTTAAAAAATGAAAACAAGGTGTGGCTACTTATTAAATTAATAATTGAAGAAGGAGGGGATTTAAAATTTCAATTCTTCATTAGCAACATGTCTCAGTGATTGCTGCTGGAATGGAAACAGATTTTGATGGCTTTTTATAGCAAATACAAGTCAATCTTGACTATAATTTTTGCACTGTCGGTAGCCATTGTAGTTCTTTTTCTAGTGAGGCAGAATATTGACCAGAGGCCAATCGTAAAGGAACCAGTTCAGTACATTATGCATTATCACAAGAACGACATGGAGGAGCTCAAAAGAAAGGCATCAGGTAAGGAGAGGGCGTTATTTGGTCTAAAAAATATTATTGTCTCTTTTTAAACCTCTCCAAGAACTCAAAAGCTGTCAATCTAAACTAGTTGAAAGGGAGTTGGAATTATCACACAACATACAGCGTGTGAAGGAATTGGAGCAGAATCTAAGAGAGGCACTGACCAACAGAGCGGAATACATATTGAAGCAACCATTGATATTTGCCATCACTCCAACATACAAGCGCTGGACGCAGAAAGCCGATCTCACTCAGTTATGTCAGACCCTGAGTCACATATCAAACCTTAGGTGGATTGTCGTTGAAGACTCGGAACAGAAAACCCCTTTAGTGACGAACCTACTTTCACACTGTCCAGTTAATAGCACACACTTGAATTTTAGAACTTCTCAAAGCCTTCTTAATATTGTTAACACTACGGATAAGAAACCCCAAGTTAAGAAACCCAGAGGCATAGAGCAGCGGAACACGGCACTCAAGTGGCTTAGGAGGCAGTATCGTCACGGAGAAGTGAAAGGCGTGGTCTATTTCGCCGACGATGACAACACTTACGATCTTAGAGTTTTTGATGAGGTGAAAATTAAAATTAGCGATATTTTACACATGATTTTACCCACCTTCATCCTCTTTCTTTTAAGATGCGTCCGACGAAAATGGTCTCTGTGTGGCCAGTAGGCCTAGCAGGTGGTCTAAAATTTGAAGGACCAATCTGTGTAGGCGACTCTGTGAAGCAGTGGTATGCCTATTGGGCCAGGGACAGAAAGTTTCAAATCGACTTTGCAGGTATGGACATGTACTGTTTATATTTCTCCCCCTTCGGTTTCTATTGTTTCTTTTCTTCTTTCTTTGTATGCAATGTGTACTATGCTAGCATTGTTTGCCAAGTCTATATGTATCACGTCTTGTAATAATAATTATGTGTATTTTAAGTGGATGTGGTTTTGTTTACTATGCCTACTTTTACTTATAATAATTCACCGCAGCACCTGGCCAGTTTTTTGATAATAATAATAAAAGCAATGAAATAGAGTGGGCCATCCTGCTATTATGTTAGCACACAATCTTTGCAGTAATATGATATTTAAAACAGTACTTAAATGAAGCCTAAAATGTGACATTGAAGCCTTTCTACTCAGCTTATGCTTCCCCCAATTACACCATTCCTCTGTGTTGAAATCACGTTATTATGATAGGGAAATTCGGTAGTTCTATAAATAAATCATAAAAGTGAAAATGAGTTACTGAATAGACAGACCTGTTTATGATGCAGCTGCTTTGTATTGTCCTTAGGTTTTGCCGTTAACATTGACATCATACTCAACACAAAGGCCCTAATACTAACAACCAGTAAACCAGGTTACATAGAGAACGACTTCCTAGAACAACTAATTGAGTTTTATGATCTAGAGCCAAAAGCCAACAGCTGTCAGTCGGTAAGGAAATACAATTATCATAACTATTATGGTGACTATAGTATTACAGTTTATGTTACACTTGCTAAATATTTGCATGTTATTTAGTGTAACTTTATGAAGTGTTCCCTTGCTTGAAGTTATTGTGTTTTTTTGTGCAGGTTCTTGTGTGGCACACCAGAACAGAAAAGCCACAAATGTTTTACGAGGAGCAGCTCAACAAAATGGGCCACCCTTCGAATCCAGGGATTGAAGTATAGGGCATTTTAAAATTATTTTTCTTTTCTCTTTTTTTAACCTCCTTGTGATGATATAACAACTATTTATGAATAAATTAATAAGTGGGCGTGGCTAGAGAGTTCATTGGTCCGCCTCTTTAATGGATGGAGATGACTGAAGGAAAAATAAAATGGGTCTTCTTTCTTTTCTCTTTTAGTATGTTCACCTTTTGTCTAGGATGGTGGCTGCACACTTGTGAAAGTTTGTGTAGCAAAGAATGTTTTCTGGGGAGCCCCGACAATAGCTTCACTACCGCCCAAGATTTCCAATTTAATACACACGACACAATCCCAGCAGCAACCTCGGGAGCGACTGAAGACAGTAGTGATTCTGGTATGTATACATACTATGTGGCGTTGATTTTAACATAATTTTTTAAATAGTTTCTCCTGCAACTGATCCATTTAATTCAACTCTTCCAACTATATTCATGATTACACCTACATATGCAAGAGCGACACAAAAGGCAGACCTCACTCGTCTCTGTCAGACACTGATGCACGTTAGAAACCTTCACTGGATCATTATAGAGGACTCAGATTCAGAGACCCCTCTGGTAACAAGGTTTCTAAAGCGCTGTCGAGTCAAGAGCTCTCAGTTGAATCGTAAAACCTCGTCAAAGCTACAGCCGCCAAAAGTGAGTGCTAAAGGACACAAGAACAGAGGAGCAGAGCAGAGGAACGTAGGCCTGGACTGGCTAAGAGAGAATTATAAACCAGGAGACGTGACAGGTGTAGTGTACTTTGGAGATGATGACAATACTTATGACATTCAGCTGTTTGAAGAGGTAGATTGCAACTTCAAAATATCCAATTAGCTCAAAAAAATTTATAGAAGTATCAGGAATTTTTTTGAAGCTATTTGTACTAAAAAAAATTACAAGCTATTTTTTAAACGAACCCAAGGTTTCCCACAGGATTTTGGCATGGTGTATGTGCAGCTATTTGTTGTCAAACTGGTCAAAAATAATTGGGCCAAAGTCCCTCATTGGCTAAATTTCATCAAAATGGCTAGGAGAGAATCTTGCATTTTTATAATTTTTTCTGATACATATATATGTACTTAGGTTGTATTTCAAGTTTGAGTTGATTTTGATTAAAATTGGATTTTTTATGAATTTTTAAAGTTACTCAAAAATTGGACAAAAATCCCTGTACTATAGTACAGGGTCGTTGGCCAAATTTCGTCAAAAATGGCTAGGAGAGAATTTCGCATTCTTATAATTTTTTTCTGATACATATACATGTATTTATGTTGTATTTCAAGTTTTAGCTAGTTTCAATTAAAATTAGATTATTTATGAATTTTAAAAGTTACTCAAAAATTGGACAAAAATCCCTGTACTATAGTACAGGGTCATTGGCCAAATTTCGTCAAAAATGGCTAGGAGAGAATTCTTCATTTTTATGATTTTTTCTGATACATATACATGTATTTGTGTTCTATTTCAAGTTTGAGCTGGTTCCGATCAAAATTGGAATTTTTATGAATTTTTTAAGTTTCTCCAAACTCCCTATACTATAACACTGTAGTGCTTGTCAGCTCATGAAGCTCATGCTTTGTGGGAAATCCTGAGTGAACCTAACAGTTAATCTTGTGTTATATAATACTAGATGAGGTATACAAATAAAGTATCAATATGGCCGGTTGGTTTAGCCGGTGGTCTCAAAGCAGAAGGACCAATCTGTGAGAATGGCAGAGTTAAAAAATGGCACGTTGGTTGGTCTCCTGGTCGCAAATTCCCCGTCGATATGGCAGGTACATGTGCACGTATAATATTCTGCTTATAACAACTGTATTATTCACAGCGTTTGCTGTTAATTTGGACATCATTCTTACTAACAGTAAAGCCAGGCTCAATCCTTTTGGTCCAGGGGGTCATTTAGAGCCAGAATTTCTCTCAGCCATAACTACTGTACCTGAACTTGAAGCTAAAGCCGATGACTGCACTAAAGTAAGCTAGCTGACACCATGTGTCAATAATGCAGGACTATATGATAAATTTGCATGCAGTAGCTTTTAGTTTTTGTTCTTCAGAGCTTTTGTTTTAAGTATTAATAGTTGATTACTTATTGTAATAGTTTATTGTTTTTATATGATTGTTGTTGTTGCCAGGTTTATGTGTGGCATACACAAACAGGTAGACCAAGTTTACGCTATGAAGATAAGATACCGACTTTAATCGAAACTAAAAAATGATTTTAAGATCTTATTACTCACTATTAATTTTATGCAATTCTATCGTTATACATTTTAATAAATATTTGACGTACAACAATAAATAATTAATTTGTAGGTGTATGTTTGGCACACTCAGACAGCCCGTGCTTATTTAGTCAACGAGAAGAGACTGCCTACCACCATTGAAGTCAAAAAATGAATGCACACTTAACATTATTATTATTATTTTATTCATTATTATTATTATTATTATTATTATTATTATTATTATTTGATCTATTAATGTTATATTGCTCTTCAATGAATATTATTACATCCGTTTATCTGTGGGTTGAATCATGGATGGAATGGTGAAAGTGCCGTTAGTCCTTCTTTACTCCTCAATCATTTGTGTTTTATATTTTGAATGGTGCTCACTTAGTTCACAAAAGCTGTATGCTAATGAAAAGGATGCTCCATGTGTCTGGAATATGACTGGTAAGGTTGTAGTCTTGTTTATGATCAGTTTGCATGAAGAGTTGCATGCATACATTCACTCCAATTATTAAACACAGATTTAAATTTATCTCTTCCAACTGTATTCATGATTACACCTACATATGCACGGCTTGCACAAAAGGCAGACCTCACTCGTCTCTGTCAGACACTAATGCACGTTAGAAACCTTCACTGGATCATTGTAGAGGACTCAGATTCAAAGACCCCTCTGGTAACAAGGTTTCTTAAGCGCTGTCGAGTCAAGAGCTCTCAGTTGAATCATACAACTCCTGCAAAGTCACTGCCTCCTAAAGGGAGCCATAACAGAACAAAAAATAGAGGAGCTAGGCAGCGAAATGTAGCACTGGACTGGTTAAGAGAGACTTATAAACCAGGAGACGTGACGGGCGTAGTATATTTTGGAGATGATGACAATACTTATGACATTCAGCTATTTGAAGAGGTATAGATGCATGGTTCAGCTGTAAGCTGCATGAAGTATAGGCTCACTCAAGTCTCAAAGTGAAATTGAACTTGAGCATTTAGTCCAGTCTAGACACTAAGGCTGCAGAAATGAGTTGATCTAATTTAGATTGCAGAGTACACAAGCTAATTGATTATGCTATTCCTTCCGTACTCCTTAAAATTCCACTGCCCTAGGGAATAATGTTATATCTATGTTTGCTGCTAACACTAGTATTGCTGCTATATAGAATGTGAAAACAACCTTGGACTGCTTCTATCTCCTTATTTAATAGATGAGGTATACAAATAAAGTATCAATATGGCCGGTTGGTTTTGCTGGTGGCCTCAAAGCAGAAGGACCGATTTGTGAGAATGGCAAAGTTATATCGTGGCATGTTGCCTGGTCTCCTGGCCGCAAATTTCCCATTGATATGGCAGGTAAGTGTCCGATAGAGTCTTATATAGTACTCTCCCTTGACTCTTGACTTCATGATAGGATTTGCAGTCAATTTAGATATAATTCTCACTAATAATAATGCCAGATTTGATCCATTTGGGGAAGTTGGTTACTTAGAACCAGAGTTTCTCTCCAATTTAACAACTGTGGAGGAACTTGAGGCAAAAGCTGATAATTGTACTAAGGTACATATCGTTGATATAAATGACTCCACATTTCTTGTTGTATGAAGGTATACGTATGGCATACACAAACTAGGAAACCAAGAGTGCACAATGAAGGAAAGGTTCCAACTTCAATAGAAACTAAAAAATAACTGTGTTATTATTTTTAAGCACTGGCGCCAAACGGCGGTAAAATTGTTTTTAAAACTATAATAATTATTAAGAAGGGAGGGGCTCCGCTGGAGTGCATGTAGAAACCGAGCAGCAGCGAAGGAATTAGTCACAATGTGGCACGAGGCGAGGAAACAAGAGAAAAAGATACGAGAGGTCATGGTCGACTTTCAGAGGCGGGCAGAAAGACGCAGGGAGCATTATGATAAGCTAGTAAGAAAAAGGGGCTCGTTTCCGTGTACTGAAGTTGAATTCCGTTTATTTCCGTATACTCATAGAAAGCAGACCCCACCTCTTACCTTCGGATAATCGGCAGCAAATGTCGTTTACATATAGACCCAACAGGTGGAGAGAGATACTCATCAACAATGTCAGTAAGTTAGTATAGTACCGCTATCAATGGAGACTGCATAAATACAATATAAACTGACCACACCTACACGACCACACCCACCACATTATTATAACTATAGGATACCGTGGCAAGGAGATGAAGATAATTTAATATCAAGGTAAGTTTGTCGGCCATTTTGAATTAAGAGGCTGTTCTTTTATAGATACGATGTCCGCATTCACATGGACATTATACCTGATTATAGCAAACTACCAGAAATTGAGTAATCGATCATTATTAATTATTATACATTTACATCTTATTTTTATAATCATTTTGAATTAGGTTGAGCGGAGAAGAAAAATACGAGGAGACAAAGATTAATTATGAGAGATATCGTTCAGTAATAATCAATGAATTTAATAATGGTAATCGTAGTAATTATCATTGTGTTGTACTTGTGGGTTTTTTATCTTAGTCCCTGAGTCTGAAGTATTGTCAAAGATTGATGTAGACGAGTTATATTCTGACGTAAAACGAGCCAAAAAAGGAAACAAAAAGTAAAATAATATCCTCCAAATACATACAAGTGCAACTTTGTTCTTTCTCTCTCTCTCTCTCTCCCCCCCCCTCTCTCTCTCTCTCTTTCTCTCTCACTGTATTTATCAGACAGTCAAAGAACAAGAGTGCTATATCGTATGACTATGACAGTCAACAGCAAATGGCTTCTGATGCTAATAAGAAGAAGAGGATGATAGAAGATGATGATAAAGACAGCAATGATGAGACTGAAGATGGTAACAATATCAATGATTCTTATGCTATTTTTATTTTGTTTCATTTTTTAAGAAATGGATTTCGATATTGATACCTTTTCCTCTGGACAAGTAAACTTAAATATAGAGCATCGATTTTGTAATGTTATGTGATATAATTTTATTGGAAAGCTGGTAAAATTTTACAAACTGGATCCATTCTTTTTCTAGATTGATAAATTAAATGTGCTTGCATTGGACTATAAAGTTTCTCAGGGATATTTCTCTCGGTAATATAATAATAATTGTAAAATTATTTATTTTTGTTTTTAGATCTGTAAGGTCAGAGAAGAACCTACTGATGGAGAGAAAGCAAGCCAAGATGGCAGAACTTGAGAAGTCTAATTTAACTGTAAGTATATTCATTTAAATTGAAGAGGCTTCATTAATGACTAATAGTAAAATATTTGAGTGAGTCCTTGTTATAGTGATTACTAATGTGTTACAGGGTAAGAAGGCTAGGAAAGAGAGGAGGTTGTTCAAGGAGATGTCACTGAGAACGCGAATGCCCAGCCCGCCACTTTTTGTACCAAAAGACATTTATAATCCAAAGAAACAGAGAGACGATGATGAAGAATCCAACACAAGGTACAAATGGAAATCATTGCAATTTCAATATGCAGTATACATGTATTTTTTAAACAATTTTAGTTCGTCTTCTGGCTCAGTATCTCTTGACAGTAAACCTCAGTTCATTACAGAGTTTGGTAGTGACGTCCCTTCTCTCCCCGCCTCCTCGTCAACTCTTGATCACGTGACCAAACCATGCCTTCCATTTTCCTCTTCCTCTCGTAAGAAAAGACGTAGAAGCAGCAGTAGCAGCAGCAGTAGTACTAGTAGTAGGAGTGATTCATCATCTCCTCGTAGAAAGAAACGCTCGTACCACTCTTCCTCCTCACACCATCATGCTGGAGATAGAGACAAGTCATTATTAATTCTTTTATTATTATTTATATTATTTGTTATTTCGTTAGAGAGAGGAGATCATCGCACAGTAGTAGTGGTCGGGATCATTCAAGATGGCGTCGCTCTAGGAGCAGGTCAATAGAGCGCGTGTCTGCATTGACAAAGAGCAAATTAGAGGCAAAAAAGTTAGTCTTACTGTTTTAATTGAAGCTTGTCATTTTCAACTCTTAAAGGCCACAGCCTAAGAAGAAGTCTCTTCCTTCATTGCAACAGAAGCAGCAGCAAGAAAAGGTGCTTTTCATTATTAGTAACTGGCCACTTATTTATTGTCTTTATATAACTCAGACAAAACTAACTCCACAAGAAAGATTGAAGAAGAAAATGCAGTCCCAACTTTCAAAGACATGTAAGCTGTTTTGTAACCGTCCCAACGTAATTCTCCCTCTCTTGCTCCTTTTCTTTTTAATTTCTTCTCTCCTCCAGTCAAGGAGGACAAGAAAGTGGAGAAGTACAAGGCGGAAGTTAAAGAAGTTGAGAGAATCGTGAGTGGAAAGCATTTCACAGTTACCATGTGAGTGAGTGTTTGCAGGAGAGAGAGGAGAAGATGAAGCAAGAGACGCTAAAGCTAAGACGTCGTGCTGGCTATGACGATTTTTATGACAGGTCAAGTCGATACTCTCGTTCACCGAGCCCTCGTGACCGATATCACAGACACTAAATATTTTATATTATTATTATAATTATTAATTACTTTAAATATTCTTGTACCTGCGCAAGGCATATAATTATAAAAGAGGTTTGAACTAGCAAATTGAAGTCATGAAAAGGTTCGTATCGTTATTGGTAAAATTCTTTTATTATTCACAAAAATACATTGATAATTTTCTGAAAGCAATTTCATGTTTCGATGAGAGGATCTGATGGCTGTCCTTGAGCAATCAGTCTCTCTTCGTCTTTTGTCTTTGGTTTCTCTGTCCTTGTATGCCAAACAAGGACCTAAACAACAAAACATTGTACCAGTAAATAACAGGCCAACAGTTGTGTGTGGCTTGGTACTGCTAAATCAAAACAAAGGAAAATTCTCTCAATTTCCTAGCCATTAAAAAAATGCACTGTTCTAAATAGTACAGGGACTGTGACCCAATTTTTGAGTAACTTTAAAATTCGTAAAAAATCCAAACTTGATCGGAATCAGCTCAAACTTGAAATACAACATAAGTACATGTATATGTATCAGAAAAAATTCTAAAAATGAAAAATTCTCATCAAGTGATTTTTGGCAAAATTTGGCCGACGACCCTGTACTATAGTACAGGGACTTTTGCCCAATTTTGGAGCAACTTTTAAAAATTCATAAAAAATATAATTTTGATCAGAATCAGCTCAAACTTGAAATACAACGTAAGTACATGTATATGTGTCAGGAAAAATTATAAAAGTGAAGAATTTTTTTTCCTTGTAATTTTTGACGAAATACCCTGTATTATTATAGCCCATGGTATTTGGGCAAAAATAATACCTTCTTGCAGTTGCTGGCACGACCTTCAGCATCAGAAGGTTGAACCATTTGTGACAGAAAGTCACTTTCAAGCCAGCCAATCCTTGAATCAGGGTTTATCTCAGCTGTACTGAACTGCAATACAACATCTAACTTAATAGCAAAACCTAAAAACAGAGTATACCATGAAACTCTCTCTCTCTCCATTTTACCAGCAAAATCAATAGGAAATGGTCTCAATTTAGCCCACGACCTATGCCAATCGACCACGGTCCCTTTATCGTCACAGACAGGCCCTTCCCACCTCAGTCCCCCACAGATACCGACCGGCCAGACTGAGAGCTTCCTGGTAGCTCTAATCTCATCAAATAGTTCAATATCGTACGTGTTATCATCGTCACCAAAATACACGACGTCTCCTTTTCCCTTGCCTGGCATTGTCATGTGGTTTCTACGCAGCCAGTTCAGTCCCAGGTTTCTTTGTTCAACTCCTCTGCTCTTTCTCCACACTGGTTCCTTACTCTATAACAAAAGAAAAGAGACTTAAGATCATTCTTTAAGCTTTCAAATAGTCCATGCTTTTTTCGAAAAAACATCCTCAATATTTTTAGTAAATTTTCTGGCATAATGCCCTTATGCTATGTAGAAATTTTGGATCAATTCCAATAACAATTCTTAAATGACTTACATTTCTTTGTAATTCTTTTTTCGTTCTTACGTTGAGGTGAGTATATTTCAGGTTGCATTTCTTTAAGAATCTAGCAACAAGTCCGGTCTTATTGTCCGAGTCTTCTACGACTATCCAGTGAAGGTTCTTAATGTGCATGAGAGTCTGAGAGAGTCTCGTAAGGTCCGCCTTCTGAGTCCAGCAAGAGTAAGTGGGTGTGATCATGTGTATAACTGGGATATGAGGGACGAGGGAAGGAGAGTGACTATCATGGAGCGACGATGTGCTTTCATTAGTGGAACACTTTTGTTTGAGTGTCAATATTTCTTGTTTTAACCTGTTAATGGATTCTTTTAATTGATTTTGTGTGTCGGAGCATTGTGTTGTACAATCATAGGATCCTATGGGGATATGTCACGTGATTATCACATGCATCTGCCTCACCTGGTGAGAGGAGGTTGAGAGCTAAGGCATTGAAGAGCAACAAACAGAGAACACAAATCACAAAAGTACCAACGTGAATCCTCATGTTATGGGCGGGGCTAAAACAAACCACACCTTTTAGGTAGGCGTGGTCTTATTGCCCACGTGTCATACATTTTAAAAATGGCGCCTTTGACTTATATATTTCTAGGTTTGTCTTTGTTAGTAGCCGTTAATGGAGGGAAAGAGAGAGTGATTGGAGCAGAAGTAGTGACCATCACTACTGATAACTGGAGGGATATGCTCACTGGAGAATGGATGGTGGAATTGTAAGCATTAAAAATAATTAATGTAGTTAATGTAGAATGATAATAATTAATTATTGATGTATTTAATTAGTTATGCTCCATGGTGTCCATATTGCACGCAGTTTTCTCCAGTCTGGGAAGACTTTGCCGATTGGGTCAACGATTTTGACGTAAAGGTTGCCAAAGTAGACATAACAAACGAACCAAGTGAAGATTAATTAAACAATCGATTATTATTATTATTATCATCGTTATTATTATTATTATTGTAGTACTTGGTGGTCAGTTTATGATTGAGCAGCTGCCAACTATATTCCAGTGAGTGTTCTGGGAAAATTACTTAATTGTACATGTATATATAAATAAACACTGAATGGGATGTTCCCATCTCTCTCTTCCTTTCTTCCTAGTATAAAAGATGGTGATGTTAGGTTGTATTCCGATGAAAGGAATCCGACTTCCTTGCAGGATTTCATTGAAAAGAACAATTATTTAAACGTTGATCCAATACCTTGGTACAAGAGCCCAACATCTCTACAGTTAGTGGCTACCAGCATACACTAGTACTGATAATGATGATAATAGTAATAATAATGATGATGATAATAATAGTAATAATAATAATAATAATTTGTTTTGGTATTGTTTTCGTTTTTTGTTTTATTGTTGTTGTTACTGCTGTTTTTTTATAATAATAATAATAATAATGATGATGATGATGATGATATTTTTCTTATTTTTTATCCAGTATGTATGGACTGGGCGTAATGTTCCAGCTGGCTCAGGAAGCACAGGTCAATACATAATGTGTTTATTTTAGTTTGTGGGTATGACTCAAGTATCCACTATTTCCTGTTTTTTATTTTTTATGATTTTATCCACATACCCTACTATACTGGGCCCTACCCATCACAAAGCCGTTTCACTGATGAATTTTATTATCATGATTATGCATGATGTCATTTATGACTCTACGAGTTGTTTCCATTATTATTCCCGGAATTTATTCATTTATCAGCCAATTACCGTGTCCATGTGTGTAGAGGATGCATGGTCCCTTTGATCTTAGAGTCAGTTCTTATTATGTATATATAATGCATGTGGCGTTTGATAGTCTTCTCTATTATTAATTAATTTTATTATAATTATTTTTACAATAATTTGATTGATAGAGTTGTAGCTGCGCGTCGTATATTAGATTATGTTTATCATGATTATTAAATTAATTTATTTTTTATTATTTTTTCTCTTGAAACAGAAACTCGAGGAGTACCTGCGAAAGGAGTACAACCTCTCCACCTGGGGCATCTTTGGGATAATGGCTACTGGTACCGTGGTTATCGGACTATTGATCGGCCTGGTGAGTAGTACATGTACGTGTACATGTATACATGTGCGTAACAAGTGGTGCGTGTGTGTCCAGATAAAATATGAATGGGTAGCTGCTTTTGTGTTGAATTCGATATTACGTCAAGTTTTTACACAATATAAGTAATAGATGTATTACATTTACATTTGTACTGGTTTTTATAATGAAAGTACAGTTCCACATTCTTCAACTTCTTTTAAGTGACTTCCCTGAGTTAATTGACTGTATCTACTACTCTTAAGTCATCACGGACTGGACTCTATGTCTTGGGAATGTTTATTTTTGTGCAAGTATTGATGAAATGTTTGTGTAGGTACCTCACTCTGTAGCTTCTACATCAACCCAACCTTGTATTTGTATATTCAGTGCAACCAGTCTCCTGTATAATGGGCTCTGACATAGTACTCACTCTTATGGCTCTTCTCTGAGTCCCAGCTGTCATTTATTAGTGGAACTCCTCTTGTGTAAAATAGGTCTATAAAGTTCAATCCATTAGAGACTAATAGCCCCATTAGAACCAGCTGTACTAATCAACCATTAGCCCTTACACACACACACACACACATACACATATATACTTGTTAGAAGTCTCACCTACAGTACACTCTTAATAAAAGTATAATTTTAATTTCACAATGTCTCTGATTGTTCATTTGTCTACTGTCTATCCTTAATGGCTACTTTATACTTTCTGTTTCGAGATCAATATGCATGTACATGTACATGTACACGTAGTTAAGGAAATTGATGGCAGACGCCAATTGTAAAAGGTACAGTCCCCACTTCTCTTTGAAAGTATTGTCTATCAATGACTGTCTGCATATGTACCTTATTTAATTACTGTGGGGAGAGACAGAGGGGGAAATGAAATTAGAGAAATACAGAGTAGAGAAGGAACAGAAGAGAGAGAGAGATGGAGATTCGGTCTGTTTGTTATTAATTATTATTAATTAGTGGTTCTCCAAATGTAGTCGGCCACACGCTTCACTGCTATGACTCATTTGGTGGAGAATAATAAACAATTTTTGCTAATTTATTTTATAAATACTCAGCGAGTTACATCACTTTATGTAACCCACTCTAAGTGTGATATTGATATTGTATCATTCATCATCATCATCATCATTAGTAGCAGCAGTATATTATTGCTAGTATTATTATTGGTATTTATTATTATTTACATGTCTTTGCTCACCTAATATTCTTGGTTATAATAGTAATCATTCTAGCTTTACAGCTAATTAATTAATCATCGTCTCGTGTTTCATTACTTCAGTATTTTAAATACACCCTCCAGACCCACAGTACATGTAAATTGTATAGTCTATATAGACTGCATTGATAAGTTTTCATAATATGCTTCAATATTGACATAGTAAGCATTCACTTGTGTATAAACTCATTCAGTATTGCTACCACATTACATTAGTGTCCTGTATAGTGGCCCAGTAGTATTAATGGTCATGACTGATAGCATCACTTCCTGTAGCATTCCATGAGTAACTGTGTTTGTTGCCTGGCCACAATCTTTGATGTAAATAATTGCCTCTCTCTTTAGTGTGGAATAACCAATTAACATTAAAAGAAGTAGGGGAGCCTACCCACTTATATGGGGGGGGGAGGGAGGGAGAGGAAGGGAGACATCGGAGGGGGAATGGAGGGAGAGGGAGGTCTTACGATGGTAGTCTTATGTTATTGTAGAGTCACTTTATTCCTTAATGACTGCATACATGTACATGTAGTTTAGTATTGAATGGGTACATTAAATTGTGTGGCTATTTCATGAGTTCTTTCCCCTGAAAATACTAATAGCTTCTTTTTATGAATATGATACGTCTACATTGTATGTATTCACTTGTGTGTGTAATTTTGATGACTCTCCCCATCATACATTAAGCATAATTAGCATACACTTACAATTGTACATTAACATATTCACAGCACATCTACCTAGTGCAGGCATCAAGAGCTTATCACTAAAATTACAAGCTCGATAATTTCTGCTATCTCTTTTTTTGATGTTATATGCAATGAGCTTCATTACAGGTTTCTTATAATCTGCATATTAGATTAGCCTCTTTGTTGCTGTTTTAGCCCTCAAGTTTTAATGATTCTATTTACAGTATGGTGTAGTCCATTGCTCTACTGTTAGGTCATGTGGTGGATGTGCATGTATTGGAAGCCATTTTCCAGCTTCTCTAATCTTTTGGTCTCAAAGCTTTCTTTTTTGATAGTGCTAACCTCAACTTCTGCCCAGAGGCAAGCCCATCTGGTATATAACTTTTTATAATTAATTTGCTATCGTTATTATTATTGTTATTATTATTATTATTATTACTTATTTATTTTTTATAATTAATTGCATTGTAAGTGTAAGACGTGGTGTCTGCTTCTCATAATTGGTGAATTCCGATCTAATAATTGGGAGGAGGAGGAGGTGAAATTGAGTTAAGTTTGCATGAGCTTTTAAGGACGTCAAGTAACATGTCAATGGCTGCATGGTAACTGTGTACGTGTGTGTACACGTACATCTTCATTTATGTATGTATGTATACATGTACGTATGTATTGTATGCGTACTTGTATTGCTTGTGTGTCACTTTCCGGCTAAGTGAGCGAAGCAGCACACTTTATGAGCCGACAAACACTGTATGTATGCCTTTTGGGATAAACTTTTAAAATTCATAAAAACTCCAATCTTGATCGGAATTAGCTCAAACTTGAAATGCAACATAAGAACATGTATATGTATCAGAAAAAATTATAAAAATTCAAAATTCTCTCGTAGCCATTTCTGATGAAATTTGGCCAATTACCCTGTACTATAGTACAGGGACTTTGGCTCGATTTTGGAGCAACTTTTAAAATTTGTAAAAAAAATCCAATTTTGATCGGAATCAGCTCAAACTTGAAAAACAACAAAAGAACATGTATATGTATCAAATGAAATTATAAAAATGCAGAATTCTCTCCTAGTCATTTTTGACAAAATGCACTCTTGTACCATGTACATGTATCAGGGTTTCAAAAAACTTATTATTATTATTATTATTATCATTACTATTATTATTAGTAATTACAGTGAACATGACTCATATTACTAATTGTCCATTTGTTGACATTATGACATGCAGCTGCTGCTATTTCAACATGTACCTATAACTTATTATTATTATAATAATACAATCGCTCACTCTCACCTCTATAGTCTTACCCCCATCTCCTCAATCCTCGTTACACTAAGTATGGAGAAGCACTATACATTATTGACTCAAGTGTATCTGTACACGTGATAACGTGAGAAGTAGTCACATCACTTTGAGTCAGCTGCCCATTTAGAGTAAATTGATATTTGGATCCACTGCCCGCATGTTGTGTGGTTGTAGGACTCTTGTCAAGTTACCGGAGCGTGTAATTGAGATATCGTACTACTAGCACTAACTGAGAGTGTTGTTTGCTCAATGGATTTGAATTAGTACCGAACATCTGGAGTTTGAGCCTATAGTTTACAATCTTGCACGCGCTTTATGAAGTATATACATGTAGTATCGTATCTTTGTGTAGCGTGTTGAACCACTGTAGGGAACAACAGAGACCATTAAAATGCGCTCTTATGAATTTACTCCACTCAATCTGTCTGCTTCTCTTTGCTCCTCTATCTCTCCTCCTCCTCCTCCTCTTGCTCTTCAATAAAATGAAATATGCCCTCAAGCTAGTGCTGTGATGTATACAGTTCATCTACTGTAGGATCACTTAGTCTTTATTGAAATGGACTGAAGCTTTCTAATATAAGGGTATCATTATGTATTAGAAAGTTTAAAATTCGAATTTTTGCAATAGGAATCAGCTCAAATATTCTGTACAGCATTATAATAAATAGGTGTATTGTTGTTCCCTGACTATTGGGTAGCAAATCTTGTTCTTCCTCCTACTGTCTCTGAGTCTGACCTTTACATAAACTCATTTTTGAGCGTGAATGTCATGATGTTTACCTCATCAGTAGCAGCTGTTATTCCACTGTTATTGATCCCCAGTCTGAGTGTGTGTGTGTATGTGTGTCTATGCATTTGAATTAGTATGTATTACCGGTAGGAGACTCGTATTACATCCATTCAATGGTGTTGTGATTATTATCATCATCATCATTATTATTATTATTATTATTATTGAAAAATTTAATCTGTCATCAGGTCACCAAACTCTAACATTTAATACATTAAAGCGATAAAGGTTTGGTAGCTTGATATACGTGTATTCAATCTTACCATTATTCTTATTATTATTATTAGTGACATTATTATCATTATTATACTAATAAGCCCCAATAAGGCTCCTACACACACATACATGTAGTTGTATATGCCTTTAGGCTAGTTAACTCCCTTTCTCTCTCATCCTTTCTCCAAAGCTCCTTCAAAGGCCAATGTTTTGACATGTTGCATTCCAGTTCATTTCTTTCTATTGGTCATTTGTAGGGCTTACTACCTCTCCTCTGTAGTTGTACATGAGGTTGGCATGACAACTCATAAAATGACAGCACTTTAGTTATTTTATTAGCTTATGAATGTGTGGGTGTCTTTTAAACTGTTTAAGATAGTCCGCGTATGTTCTATTTAGTTTGTCTGTTTTTTATATCTTTTAAAATTATTTTTCACTCACAATGTTAGTGTAGTTGTGTATTTCTTCAGTGTTGAGTGTACATGATCAGGTATCAGACTCATTAGCTTGTTATAAGTGATAATGTTGATACTATACACATCATCATCATCATTATTATTTTGTTATGCTACACTTATATGCAAACAAACACTTGCAGAACTATATTGAGTTTAAGTATTGTATCTTTATTTCGTTAGTCTTTCTTTTTAAACTATTATTATTATTGTTATTATTGTTGTTGATGGTATAACAATATTGGTTTCTTTTTTGGTGTTTCCATTACATATTGAATGATTACTGAAGTGACTAGTGATATTAATATTGAAACGATACTAACATAGATACTTCAGCCTGATCTATGTCTAATGATATAAACGGGCAGAAATGCAGCTGCTACATGATGAGAGATTGTTATCTTTACTGGAGGGAGGGAGGTATGGGCTATTATGTATACACAAGGCATATCTTATACTAAATTTGAGACTGTTTTTACAGTCTCGTTTAATGGGCCATTGATCAATGGTGGGGTATTATCACATCCAACTGCTAGTGATACAGGCATTGGATGGCAACCTCAGGAAACTGAGAGAGACAGAGACAGAGGGTTCACTAGGTAACTGAGACCATGTATCTCATTTGATAAAACTGTTATTTTCAAAACCCGATAACATAACAAATCGCTCAAGCGAAGCGATCGCATTTCATATCTGGTATATCATGAATCATTTCTGCCCTATCTCTCTGACTCTTTCTCTATTTTATTTTTTTACTAAAAAACAATTAACCAGTAAGTGTACGTGACCCCATTAATGTGTTTGTGACTGAGTCTACATGCGTTTGTGTGTGTCCAGTTGCGTCAGTCAGGCCACAGTTGTTATTCTCAAGCAGGTGACACCATAAACCTCTCCCTGCCATTCAATCCTCGTCCTTCCTTTGATACTGACCCGATCACGAGTTCTTTAGTCCAAACAGAGCGCCATCCGGTAGTCACGTTATCCCTATTGAATTATACACACCGACACCAGTTCACATATTGTTAATGGTTTGAAAGGGACACATGAGATAGTTTCAAGTGGTGTTTACAAGAGGGGGAGGATGAGGTTTGTGGGTAACCCTGTATGCTGTCTAAGACTGTCATTGTATACATCTCTCCCACTTTACTCAAACTGTCATGTATACAGGCACTTAGACCAGGTCATGTAACTCTTATATGACATAACGATCATTACCAGACACACACACACACACACAGTGACACAGTCTTCTAATGCACATAATGTGTATTTCCTTTTTGTGTGGTTGCTCTCTCTCTGTTGTATTTTATTGAAATACCTCATAACGATATTCATAGGGTTCGTGGTTGTTTGAGACTGCTAATTGATGTGCAGCATTTGGTAGTAGGAGGCACCCTGTGTTATATGAGATAGTGCAAAAGCTCACTTACTCTCTATTAGTAGAGTCCTATGCAGCATATAATATGATGCATATGTATAATGTATTTATGATTTAACCATGTTTATGTGTAGGCTTCATGTGATGTTTATGGCTCTTATGCTTTCATGCATGAGCTTGTATGTGTACATGTATGCATGCGTGGGTAGTCTTGGTTTTACAAATTTTATTTTGATTAAGGATTTGTATCGTTGCGATTCCTGCCTTTGAGGCTTTAATTGTTGTAACAAGAGCTACCAGAAGAGACCGAGAGAGTGTAGGAAGAGGAGAGGAAAAGGGAGAAAAGGGACTGTTTGAGTAAAGGAAGTAAAGAGAGCCTGGGAAAAGAGAGAGAATGCTGGGTTGATGTAATATGAATAATAGAGAAACAAAGAGTCTTGACACTTGCATTGTTTAAGTTAATGCTATCTGAGTTGTAGCTGCTAAGGAAGGGGACATAGTTTAAAGAGAGGAAGCAGAGAGAGAGAAGGAATGCTAGGGAGAGTACTTTTTGCTGGTTCAGTGATTAGGTCAACTCATTGTGCTTGGATGAATCAATTGAATCCTTTTAAATATATTCCCTCTCTCTTTGTGTTGGTTAAGAGTTACAAACCAAGGGAAGCCTTTCCATCATTTTAGCTCACCTTTTGCACATAAAAGCAATAATAATAATAACAATAAGTGCTTTATTATTATTATTATTATTATATTATGTATACACAAATCTCTATACTTGTACATATACATGTACATGAGCTACTTAATGTACATGTGTGCTTACATTACATGATACACCTAGCAGCTGCTTGTATTATTAAGCATGTAAAGTGGTTCTCTTTGAGATGGTGTGTTTGATGGTAAGGGAACTACTGTAAGTGAAAGGATTTTGTGTGTGTGGGGGTATGTAAGTGGGTAGGAGATAAGTAGGCTAGTGGTTTTGTTTTTGCCCTAAGGCTGTTTGCCTCTAATTTGAATTTTGTCTCTTTCCTTCATTCTGCCTTTCCTTCAACCTCTCCCTTCTCTGTATTCCTGTTTTTTTCTTTTCTGTGTCTTTCCTTTCATTTTCTTCCTGTTGTTTCCCCGGTGCATGTATTTTTCTCTTTATAATGCATTAATAGCATGTATATTACTATGAGGGAATTCCTTCAATAGTTTGAGTGTAGTTCCGTCCCTTTGTTTGTCTGTGTGTTCCTGGTAATATTATACGTCAGTATAACGTATTTTAGTAGGAACTGATGTATTTCATTATTAATGTATTGCATTACATTATGCATACACATATGCACATGTACTTCAGTAGTATCATCTCCTGTTACTATTTTTAGAATCCATTAGCATACACACTTTAGTAATAATTGCTTGCATCATTAGTAAATTTTTACCCTTGCTTTACATCCTGCTGCATAATGTACTGCATTGGACAGAGTAGTAGTATTATTATTATTATGAATGCTATGAATGTTATTATAAGAGTTGGTATTAGCACGCATATCAAATGACACAGCAAGATATCATAAGAACACATTATGGTATTGGACAGTTTGAATATACTTTGTATTTTGTACTCTCTCTCTCTGTCTCTCTGTGTGTGCCCCACTGTCTGGTAGTGTTCATGTATAAACTTGGTCTATTATTACTAAATCCTGCCCCCTCTTCCTCTCTCTTTTTCCCATACACAGAACCACTGAGTCATACTCCAGTTGCATCTATACTTCCTCTTATTTACCCTAATTAATGAGGTAGTCATTATTAACATTCAGTTAGCGTCTCTGCCTCACTTAATTTGCTACACTACATGTATGTACATGTACATGAACCTTACCCTCTCTCTCTACCTACCTCTGTCTCTGTATTGTACTTGTGGGTGGCGAGTCAGACATGGTCTGCGACTGTTTGTAGTGGAACACTTTATAATTGATGTATCTGTCAAGCTTGTGATTGAGTGGGTGGTTGTCTGTTGAGACGAGTTGACACACGGTCGTACTCCCCTCGGTGTACTCTCTGTGTGTAACAGTATGACCGGAATCCTTTTGATGACATTTTCACAAAACATGAAAGTGACTCTGACTCGATTAATTTGAGTTTTAATTACTACTGGCCCAGTCTAAGAACACACACACACACACACCAACAACAGCAACACAGCAATATCATTTAAAATGTGACACTAGCGGGAGAGTGGGAGGCGAAGTGTGGGGAGGAGGAGAAGGGAGGATGAGAGTTTGGGACAAAATATCTTTTTGTAGTATGTAAAAGGGAGAGGGAGGAAATTGAGTGAGAAGGAAGCAGAGATGAGAGAGAGAGACAGAGGAAGAGAGAAGCTTTGTACCTGCATATTTATAATGCATGAAAGAAAGAAAGAGAGGAAGGTGAGAGGTAGTAAGGAAGAGAAAATTGATTGTTATACATGTACATTGCTATTATTTATTTATTTTTCCTGTAGGTTTGCGTTTTGGTAGGCGAAGTTGTATCACGTGCTCGGTCAGCTCCCAAGAGACGTCCAAGGCCTCAGAAGGAAGAAAAGAAACCGACTGAAAGCAAAGAGCCGGTTCCCATTGAAACACTTCAAGAGAAAGAAGCAGTTCAAGAAAAAGAAGCAGTTCAAGAAAAAGAAACAGAGGAAGAGAAAGAAATAGTGGAGACTGTCCAGGAGAAAGGGAACGAAAAGAAAGCTAAAAGTGATAAACCTAGAAAAAGGAACAAGGCCAAAAGGGTAAGGAAAAGAAACATGTGTGTATGTACGCGTACATGTATTTGTTTTTATATTTAACTATTGTTTGTTGTTGTAGGAAACTGATTAGATGCCATTGTCTTTTTAAAATTGAACTATCGTAATAATAATAATTATTTTATTTTTGATGGTATTTCCAACTAACTGTTGTTGTTGCCTTTGCCTAAGGATAATAATGGCTGCACTGTACACAGCTGCTACTGTAGGCAAGGGTTCGCTTCTTAGAATCAATGGAATATTATTGTACAGGTGGAACAAGCCATGATGTCAGCATTGATAATAAATAGAATTGGTACACGTATGTACATGTACGTGTCTGTCCCTCTCACTCCCCTCCCTCCCTCTCCTGCTCGCTCAGCAAAACTCTAATCACTGTACGCTTGGTCACATAAATGTTAATCAGTTATTTTATTTTGTTAGTTACACCCTCCCTTCTCAGGGCATAGCCACCCCTTTTGCCACTTGTGTAATCAATAAATGTAAATCACAGACTTGTTTGTCCTGCCCTATGATGTGGTGAGACTCTCTCCACATGCTCTCTCCCTTTAGACAGTTCCTGCCCATGTGCACATCACACACTGCTTCCATTAGAAATGCTTGGCTGGCTCTCATAATATTGAATATCATGCTCAACTCTCTCTCATTATTGCTGAAAGATAATCTTTCTTTCTTCATTTTTGGAGCATTAAGATCACTGCCACCCTCCCTGACTATGTGCCGCTGTAATCAATAGCCTATTAATGGAGGTATCATGTAATGGTCCTTGAATCTCTATACATGTGTGTCCTTGTGTGTGTTCTCCTATTAGCTGCAACATGTGCTGTGTGGATCTCCTCATATTCCCCAAAGCCTTTAATTCATTACAGACCCAACAATTCATTATTATCTATGACAGACCTCCTTTCTCTCCCACTCGTCACATTACTATTCCTCCCACATGTCACTCTCTCTCTCCCTCTCTCTCTCTCCCTCTTTCTTTCTCGTTCAAAAGCACAAATTATCATGCGTCAGACTTGCCATGAATGGCTTCGAGTGAAGTAGGACAAATGCCTTTTTAGTACTGACCTGCTTCAGGCTATAAGTACATTACCTAATTAGAGCTAGCGTGGACACTATGAACTTTACTATTATTATCATTGTACATATGCACATGCACAAGCCTGCAGCATGTTGGAGAGTTGAATGAGTGTTTAAGAGGTGGATTTGTGGCTGTTTTGAAAGGGCAGAGAGAGAGAGGCGGTGCTCATGAGTGCAATCCAGGATTAAAGTTTGTGTAAGGGTGGGGCTGGGCTGAAGATCTAGCCCCAAATGGGTGGCTGTCTCCCAAGAGCTCCTCTTTGATAAGAGTTGCATAAAGTTGCTCTGTAACACAACTCCAAAACTGTGAATACACTGAATAATTTTCTTAGTCCCTCCTTCTGCCCTTAGCTTTGTGTCCCAGTACTGATAAAGGCTTAGGCTTGGGGGCGAGTTGGTATAGGATGGATATAGAGGGGAAAGCTTTTTTTGGGTGGTTCAGTGTCTGTGAGTGTAGCTAGCCTCAAAGCTAATCCTGTGGCTGCTTTGTCACTCCTTGAGGTAAAGGGCTCCTAACCAGTGCATGCAGCAGAGGAGGGCATCCTCCAAACCTCAGAGTTGCAACAAAGCTTTGGACTGGAAATTAAATAAAAAGGAGCTAGGGAATAGCTCTTAGGTGGAGTGCTCTCACCCCGGGCTATATATTTCTCTTAATAGGTAATGTGACAATCATATTGAATTTCATAGATCATACATTACGAGGGAAGCCATTGCATTCTCTTTCTCTTCTCTCCTTTTGTACACATTAAAGTATATTTTCGGCATTACAAAGGCTAACCCCACGTGCATGCCTTCAAGCCATAATGTGGTCATCGTAAGCTTATATATGAATGCGTACTGGAGGAGAGAAGAGATATAAGAGAGGCCCTCAGCACCAGTTTAACAAACCCAAACAACCTTTTTGACTGGTCTTTTTCCCCAATCATGCAGTGTTTGTCCTTCGCAAGGAACATCATGAACGGCTACCAGCTTACAGCAGCAATGGCCATTCCCTACAATGCATATGGTCTGAGTCAAGAACAAGTTGCCTGCGTCTGTGATGTACTACAGCAAAGCGGTAACATAGAGAGGCTTGCTAGGTTCCTCTGGAGTCTTCCAGCCTGCGAGCAGATACAGAAGAACGAGAGCGTCCTCAAAGCAAAGGCACTCATCGCCTTTCACCAGGGAAACTTCCAAGAGCTCTACAGAATCATAGAGACCAATAATTTCTCTCCCGACTCGCATCCAAAGATGCAGCAGCTCTGGCTTCAGGCTCACTACATCGAGGCTGAACGTCTCCGCGGAAAACCACTCGGAGCTGTTGGAAAGTATCGCATCAGACGCAAGTTCCCTCTTCCAAGGACCATTTGGGATGGTGAGGAGACCAGCTACTGCTTTAAAGAGAAGTCCAGAGTTGTCTTACGCCAGTGGTACACTAAGAATGCCTACCCATCGCCAAGAGAGAAACGACAGCTAGCAGAACAGACCGGACTGACCACGACTCAAGTTAGCAACTGGTTTAAGAACAGACGTCAACGAGACAGAGCAGCAGAGACAAAAAGGTAATAGAGAACTATAACCCATATGCATGTACATTATGATAATTATCGCGATGCTAATACTCTGAATGCATTTAGCCAACAATGGGGAATAGTCCGAGTCCCTTTGAGTAGGTAACCTAGTAGCAACAAGTGAGTAAGATTGAATGTCACTGGGTTGCATTTAGCGTAAAGAGAAGCTTCCCGTAACAATCCACTTTGTAATTTGATACTTTGCTCAGTGTACACTTGTGCATGCATGTATGCCCAACCAGCAGTTGTACCTGTGTATACCTGCTCCCCCATCCACTTGCATGTGTGTATGAATGTGTGTAACATGCAGCAATTAGTCTGTAGCAACACATCAAAGCTAGCATCATTCTGAAGTGGTTTGTTGGAACTCAAGGCAGGCAATCACTGCCAATAACAAACAATCTTTTCTGTTCTAATGATTATTTGTGTTCACAAAAACCAACTTTATTATTACTCACTCTCTCTCTTTTTTTCAATAATAGTACCGATCCTAAATTCAAGCAAGATCTATCCCTCAATTCTACTCCCTCTTCATCGACCAGTTCTGCTTCACTCTCCCTCGAGCTCCATTCACCGAAGGAAGGTCTCTCGGTAACCAACGAGCTACCCGATGATCCAATCAATCCATCAGACCTATCGATCAAGGAAGAAATATCCTCTACTCCCGGCCCTAGCGGAGATTTCCCCAGCCCTAGTGCTAGCCCTGTTTCGGAGTCATCCTTCCCAAAGTTAACTGAAGTCTATCGTTCAGCAGAAGACTCGTTCATCACTCCAGAGAGCATCGGTCAGACGGATTCCTCGAGCATTGCTGTCTCTCCGGATAACACAAAGTACTATCCCCATCAGTCCGGCACTTACCCATCAACGAGTGATGCCTCCATTGCTTCCTCCTACTATGTCTCTTATAACGGTACCTCTTATCCGACAGCAGCTGCAACCCCTGCTGCATATAACAGCACGTCTCTACCCAACCCAGACATGTACTCCACTCCTGCTGGCTCTTGCTTGAGCCCGAGTTACCTCAGTTCTTACCAGGCAGCTACTGGTAAAGGATACACGTGGCCCACAGCTCCTAATGGTGTTGGATACAGTGCGTTTGGAATGACACCAGACATGTATCAGTATCAAGCTCAGACTTACCAGCAAATGGCTGCATCTCGTGGCACTTATCAAACACCAGCAGGAGCAGCTAGCTATTTCACGGGACAAACTGCCTCTCTACCGAACACAATGTCATGATGTCCTCTTCTGCAGTCATATACTGAGTAGTCTTGTGGTCACAAGTATATCAACATTATTATTATTACTATTATTATTATTATGCATATCTTTCACTTCAATGCTCTTCCTTCCTTTCCTTATGCTCTGTGGTATGCCAGTTCTTTATTTGAACTGACCACACACTCTTTCACAAGCTTCCCTTCTTTTCTATCAATCATTCTTCAAAGGACTATCACATCACTGCTTTGGCATCCACTGGATTGTGCCTCAGCAAGACTATTTTTAATTTTCAACCATTAGAGAGAGAAAGAGACCTATTGTTCAGATCACAGCACCTACATTATTATTATTATTATTGTTATTATTATTATTATTATTTCAGCTGTGCTTCATAATACTATCATAGTTATTATTATAATTACTATTATTATAGTCTAAAAATTAAAAAAACTCTTTTTATACTTATGCTTCACATGAGAATTATTTTATAAAGCTGTATTCACAATGTACACTGCTATTTTATGAAGCCATATTTGACTCCTGCTAGATGCTCATCATTAGCTATTAGAGGCCTTCTTTGCCACATGCATCATTGCTGAAAGCATTTGGCAGCATTCCAACACCAAACAATGTTTTCTTTGTAAGTGCTGGAGGTGGACTGCCTGTAGAGTGTGTCATGTGAAAATATTTACAAAAAGAGAGCCAATGGCAACATCAATGGAAATAGAGTTGCAGCTATTATGATATATCCATGTATCTATTTGAGTTTAGTGAGAGTTTTGGGTGGAGCTCCTTTTGCAAAAACTATGGGCGTGGCTGCTTCTTCCATTATCAAGATGGCGGCTAGAGGGATCTTGATACTGAGATATTCCAGGCCCTGGCAACTCTGGCAAGTAAGTTAGGACTAAGCTTTCTACAAGGGGAAGACTTAAGTGATATTTTTAGCAGAATTGCTTGTTAAAGAGAAGATTTTTTACTCGTTTTCTGTCCTCAAATCAAAACGAAACCACCGAGAGGTCAAGCAAAGACGATGAGGAAAACACCAACCGCTTGGTTAGCTCTAGTAATACTTTATAATTGCATTCAATTCTCTTTTGTGCATACGCTCCACTTCATAATGTAACAGATGCTGAGATATTCACAGGAAAATGGTACATTGATACAATGAGGATTATAATTATGTATAATAATTTATTCATTATCAACAATTATAATATAGGTTTTTTGTCGTGGAGTAGAAATGCAGCCATTTGTGCTGGAGTAGGTGCAACTCTCTCAATGATAGAAAAGACGTCATCTTTTAGCTACCTTAGCTCTGGTACTTTTGATGCATAACCTTACATGCTTATAAAGAATGTTATTTTTTAAAATGTGTCTGGGATTTTTTACCTAAAAATATTTTTACAAGTTATTTACTTCCTGTTCTTGTTCACGCCTCAAGGTGTGAACAAGGTGTCAAAAAAAAACTTTTAATTTGAAAGTATTTTTTTGTTATGAATATTACTGACTTGTTTTTTTTTTTTGCATAGGATTCTTTGATTTAGGATTGATATTCATGACTGTAGGCTCATTTCACCACATCTTGTCTTCAATTTATTTAAGAAAACACTTCAAGCTCTCCTTGGCTGGCCTCTGTTGGAATATAACTTATTCCTCAATTATTTGGATTGGCTATATCTCTCTTGTTTGGCAGTTGATTTAAAATGATAATAACGACATAATAACCAACAATAATAACCAACAATAATAACCAACAATAATAACCAACAATAATAACCAACAATTATTATTATTATCAATAATCTTTTAATGTGTAGTACATGTATGTTACAAAATTATTATTACTATTTTAATCATCAATAGTTGTAAAGTTCTTATCACACGGGGACACACTGAGGTGGGAAACCAGTCGGCATAGACCACTCTCCATTCAACTGACATGTTCTGTACCGATTACCAATGAGACGATAGCCATGATGACACTTTGCTGTGTAGCATGAACTTGGAGTATTTCCAGACAGTATGATGTCTCCATTAGAGACGGGAGACGGAGATGGACAGAAGTGATCTAACATTACCAGGAAAATTGGATAATAAGATTGAAAAATTATACATAATTATAGCCTATACTTACTACTACTCGGTAATTGAAACTTCCTTTTTTAAAAAGCATTGCATGATATAATGGTTCATTGGCTTGTTTAGTTCAATGATCAATACATTTAAGAATCCTCTCTGAATTACCCTACTCACTGTACACCCAGCATAAGTCATAATGATTGATACATAATAATATAATGATCATTATATATATATCATTATATATAATGATCGATACATTTAAGAATCCTCCCTAAATTACCCTACTCACTGTACACCCAGCATAAGTCATAATGATTGATACATAATAATATAATGATCATTATATATATATCATTATATATAATGATCGATACATTTAAGAATCCTCCCTAAATTACCCTACTCACTGTACACCCAGTATGAGCCTCACCATTATATTGTATGAGTATTTTCCTATCTATGTACTGAGAGTTGCTGTTCCTAGCTGTCACATGGCAACCGTATTCCCCAGTGATAGAGTGAGCCCCTTCCTTAGTGACAGGCTGCAACAATAGCTCGTGACTTCTATTAGCAACTGAGAAATGACTCACTCTAAAATAAAACAATAAATACAAATAAAAGAGCACATACTCAGTACCTTACCTGACATTTATTTCATCTATTTCAGGTCCTGAGAGCTTCTTAATCTGGTGTGCATTCCCAGTGGAGCTCTGACAAGCAAGATACACTGGCTGGGATACTGTGAAGTGCCAATTGTCTGTTGTCATCCACTCCTTTGTGACTGGATGACGCAAAATAAACTTGGACCTTGGGAATATACCTGATAAGAAGAAATACAATAGGGCACATGAAATTTCCAAGAAATGACTCTGACCACAACCAATTTTTATCAGATTTCTTATGCATATTGATAAAAAAATTTTGAGCAAATTTTGACAACTCGTCTTAGAAAATATGCCTCAATTTTTGCTATGCACAAAATGTAGAAAGTTTATAGAGTTGTGAGTGACTCGAAAAATTTAAAAAATGCACAATGAATTTACGGTCGATAAGCAACACATACAAGTACAGTGTATAGATCATTGTTATTGCAGTTGTAGGAACAGCCACTGGTTTATAATAAAATTATCAGTAATTATCGACGTTATGCACAACAGAATGCAACAGAACTTCTTTACTGTGGCTTCTGGAATTGAAATCACACACTATTGCTTTATAATTGATCTAACCACATGATATAAGACAGTGAAGTGAGCCAATACCTTTTCCTAATTATTTAGTTGTAACTGATGCAACCAAAAATGACACAAGATTTTAGAAAAGCAATTGCACAAACTTTCTAAATAGCATAAACACATTGTATAATAGTAAAATTGTAAAAAAGAGGGTGATTTCAGAGCCATTTTTAGGAAAAAGCAAAGGCCATTATCCTTGCTTTTAAAAAATTGGCTCATTTTAAAAATGCTTATAACTCCAAAAATACTTGTCAGAATCACCTCAAACTTTCTACATAGCATAAGGACATCAATATGTATCAGAAAATGTAATAAAAATTTGGGATGATTTCGGAACCATTTTTTGGAAAAAACCATGGGCTATAGTACAGAGAAAATTTTCAAAATTGGCTCATTTTTTAAAATGACCATAACTCGAAAATTTGAGCTCAAAATCGACTCAAACTTTCTACACAACACAAGTACATCAATTTGTATCAGAAAATTTAATAAAAATTTGGGGTGATTTTGGAGCCATTTTTTGGAAAAAAACATGGGCTATAGTACAGAGAAAATTTTCAAAATTGGCTCATTTTTTAAAATGACCATAACTCGAAAATTTGAGCTCAAAATCGACTCAAACTTTCTACACAACACAAGTACATCAATTTGTATCAGAAAATGGAATAAAAATTCAGGGTGATTTTTGAGCCATTTTTTGAAAAAAAATATGGGCTATAGCCTCCAAATTTACACACTCACTTCTTAAGCAAATGGTTGTTTCTCCACTCCACTGCCCAGTAGCAGTACATCTCCTAGCAATACTCCCATGTATGTAGTAGCCTCTGTTGCATATGTATATAGCAATTGAGCCTTCACTGATGCCACCAACGTCTGAGTAAGAGTTATTATTAACTGATACGAGTCGGCCATTTTGAGGTATCGGTGGAGAAGGACAAAACCTGTAGCAGGAGGAACCTAAAAAATATTTATAATAATAATAATATTTGTCATCTTTTAAAAGTGATTTATAGCTAGTAAGATTAGTAACTACATGCAATGACAGGGCTGATGCTACTAATAATAATAAGACAGTTAGAAGGGGAAAATTTAATGAGAGGCATTAGTTCCAGGCTTACATGCACATTGCAATAAATCATTTCCCTTCCCCCCCCTCTCTCTCTCTCTCCTTCCCTCTTTATCACTCGTGGTGTTTCACAGCGTAAAAGATACATGCAATCTCCATGGCAACGTGGTAATTATAATTAGGTATATGTACACAGAAGCTGGTTAAAGCATTACAGAACTTAAAAGGAATGTGACTTTGTTGTTTGTAGAGCTTCCGCCTTGCCTTGTCAGGTAATCATACATATACATGTACAAGCAAGGATTAATTAAAGGCATATATATTATGAAATACTACAGCGCATGCATATATACATGTACATGAATCTACATCTGAACAACTAAATTACATGTATGCATCATAATGTGAATAATGCCCCTACTTATACTAGCACTACATGTACATGAATATATGTACATGTACATGTATATGTACAACTATGCATGTGAATGGTGTTCTTACTTATACAATACGGCAAAGGTGAGTTCCACTGTCCATTGCTCGAGCATAATAAAGTACTGTTGCCTATCAACACGTGGGAGTTAGAACAAGAGAAGTGGGCAGCAGACCCTGTAGTGTATTGTGTCCTGTTTCCATCAGCCATTAGACCAATAGGAAGAGATGGAGCCAATTCGCAAAACACTACATATCAATGAAAGAATGAAGGAATTAAGGAACACACAGAGATAGTAGGAATTAATGGATAGTAGTCATGTACGAGGAATGAGCAGAATGTATATAAAGAGAATCAGTTATTGTCTATTGTGAAATTGTCACTTATGCATATAATCAAAGGAATTCAAATCATAAGATTTCTAGCATTCCATTCCATTCATACCAATAACCTGAAGCAATGTATAAGCTCAGGTGTTGTAATTATCGACATACGTATACATGTACATGTACATGTACATATATATCTCTCTCTTCTTCTCTTACCCGAGCATTTAGGTGGCTGGCCGCTCCATTCACCAGTTGATAAACAAGAGATGGTTCTTGACTCGGCCTCTCCTGGTCTCTCTCCCAGTATCATTAAACCAGGTCTACAGCAATACTCTACACTTGACCCAGCTGGAAATGAATCCTTCAAAAAAGAGAGAGAGAAAGAGAGTGAATTATAATCCTAAAATTACTACATTAGTAATCTTCTTTACATAGACATTCAATAAAAATCCTTAATATGGTATATATATACATGTATATATATATTTTTAATAATAATAAATTCTTGATTTTATAGTCTCACTTGATCAAATGGTGGTAGGTAGTCTGGAGTGAGTAATGGCCCATAGCCGGAGGATGGAATATCATCAATAATCTTCCTTTCTGAGTCAGAATCATACGACACTGAACATACTCTAGAATTAGGTTTAGGTTGAGGAGGAGAAGGACACATAACAGCTGGAGAAAGAGAGCGAGAGAGACAAATTAACGGATACAAATTGTTGAACTTACTGCTACATCAATCAAACAGAATCACTTGCTTTCCATATGTACATGTACATGTAAACCCAATTAAGTTGCAATTTACTGAATTATACTTATATAGCCCCCTCAAATGCATGTAGCAATTATAACACGTCATTAATTCATTATGATTTAATCATTATTTACATGTACATGTACATGTATATGTACCTCGGCAGGACGGTGGTTGATGGCTCCAGTGTCCACTTGGTAAACACGAAATGGCTCGTGGTCCTTCTCTCGTGTAGCCATGGTTACAATCAAAGAAAATGACATCTCCACATTTTCTCCCGTGATTGATGTCTTGGTAAGTTTTACTGTTTGATGGAGGCAATAAAGATGGACACAGCTTTTCTAAGAGAAAGGAGAGAGAGAGGGGAAGAAAAAGCACATTTTCAAAGCTTGAAATTATCATGAACTATTAATCAAAAATATGGTGAAAACCATTTAAATTTGTACATGCATTTTCGTGTTTTTTTTTTCTAAAACACAAAGTAACTTTTTTTGCATTGCCATTGACTCTAATATAATTATACTTTCCCTTACTTTCACAGGTTGGAGTTGGTTGGTCCCAGTATCCTCCCTCCATACACCTGAGGACACTGGACCCTCTTATCTCATAGCAACTGTCACATGACACATTGGCCACACCTCCTACATTAGTACGGGTAATGGTAGCAGCACCGTTATCAACATGAATTAGTGGGCATTCTTTATTTGGGTGTAGGGCTAAATAAAACAATGAGATCATCCTCTGTTATATAAATCTAAAAATGGCTCACATTTGCAGGATGGGAAGGGTTGGGTCCAAGTCCCGTTTTCGCTGCAATAAGTGTTGGCCTTGCCCACCAAACGGTAGCCACGGTAACAACGAAACCGGACGTAAGTGCCACAAAAGTAGACGTTGCCAAGCGGAAAAATCTGACCGTTTAAAAGCAATTTAGGAAGAACACACGTAACCCCTAAAAAAACAAAAAAAAATATTATTAAAACTCATACATGTAATTTAAATTAAATGTAGAGTATTACATGTACATGTACATGTACATGTACATGTACATGTACATGTACATACATTCGCATTGGGCCGGTACCCCATCCCATCGTCCCTGCTCAGTGCAAGTGAGTTGAGTGCTCCCTCCAGTTGGTGTCCTGCAGTTCTGACACTTTATATTTATGATGTCGCCGATCGTGTAGTTCTGCCTCGGGGGATTGTCAGGAGTTGGCGGAAGGAAATTAACACTGTCCTCTACCACAGGCATGGGACAAGTAGCAGCTGCATTAATAAAAAATAAAATTAAATAAAAACAAAATTAAAAATATAATCAGCAATTATTATTAGCTCAGATGAAGGGAGTCATAAGAAGTATACTATACATGCATCATAGTGGGAAAGAATGTATTAGTATGTCTATGAGCTAAGATTGTGTGGATACATTGACAGCATGACTATAGGAGGGTACAATAGATAGGGTGCGACTTACAGACACAATAGGGAGTGGACTGACTCCATTCTCCACTAGTCAAACATATCGAGATGCTTGCTCCTAACAATACGTACCCGTCCATACAATAGAACATAGCCTATACAGAATTAATGTTATTATATTCTTTATTTGGGATATGTTTTAAATGTAGCTTACTTGTGATCCACAAGCTAGCGATGATTGTACAATGCGACCATGTTTAGGAGGAGCAAGGACTGGACAGTGAATCACTAGTAGAAGAAAACCATTTTAATATGTTCATGCACTGCAAATGAAATTTAGAACAAAATTGGAGTTGCTCAAAATTTGACAAAGTACCATGTACTATAGTATAGTGTATTTCATCAAAAAATCACTCAGAGAGAATTCTCTATTTTTATAATTTTTCCTGATACATAATAAACTTGTATTGTGAGCTGATTTCAATTATTAAATTGGTATTTTAGAAATTAAAAAAAAATTGATTTACGCCTGATAAGAAGTATGCATAATATTTATATGTAAAATGTGATGGGAATGCAAAAGCTTTTGTTATGATTTGGACACATTCGTGTTTTTAATAAATAAAGTATTGGCATCCGTCCCTCACTCTCTGAATTATGTTTGATCTACAAGTCTTATTCTGCCCACACCACACACACTCATACATGTACATGTACATGTATGTACGTACATCAGTACATGTACAAGTACATATGCATACAATGAATGATAAATGATATCAATTTTCTAAAACGGCCACACAAGGAAAGAAAGACAAAGAAAGATTGAAAGTTTAAGACACACAAGAGAAGAATAGGAAAAAGAGAGAGAGAGAGAGGAAGAGAGAAAGGAAAAGAGATAAAAGATGGAAGGAGAGAGAGAGAAAGAAAAAAAAGAAAAATAGAGAGAGAGGGAGGAAATTAAGAGCTTACTCTGACAAGATGGTAAAGGTCCAGACCAGTGTCCATTATCACGACACTGTCTTGTTATCGATGCATTGATGCTGTTCAACCTGTGACAGTCCTTGCAGGTGTAGACTGCTATTGAGTTGTACGTGGTGAGTGAGTACTCTACTAGGAGATTACCGCCAGCAGGTGGGGGGCCACAGTCAATAGCTGGAAAAAAATAAATTATAGCGAGAAAAATAAATAAAAGAAATAATAAAGACTGGAGTTGAATGGAGCCATAAAAATAAGATTATAATATATACTAAAGGCTAAAGATGAATTGGGAGCTATTACAAAATTTTTTTAAAATAAATAAAAAAATAATTGTACGTCCCCACATGTAACATGAATACAAAGTATGTACATGTACATGTATATACTTACGCTGGCAGTTCGGAGGTATATTGGACCATGTGCCATCTTCCTGGCAGGTGAGTAGACCATGGCCCAACAACTGGTAACCTCTTATACACGAAAACCAACACGTCATGGTATAGGAGCTGTTATGGCAGGAGAATGGGTGCGAGAAGCCATAGAGGGGAACTGGGAGAGTGGGACATCTAACAGCTGGAAAAGAAAAGAGAAGAGAATACTTTGAGTTTATTGTGACTAGCAGTTTCTTCCACCCTCTCTCTCTCTCTCTGGTTGAAATGCCATTTCAAAAGAGAAGCAAGTCATAACGTGTAAACAGAGGTTTAATTTACTGAAAATATACTCCATCGTTTACAATACACCCAATAATAATAATAATGATAGTAATAAAAATACATGTAACAACAACAACAACAACAACAACAATAATAATAATAATAATAATAATAGGCTTACGTTCACAAGTCCCCACTGATGGTACCCATTGTCTCTTGGTTCTATCACACGTCAGTACGTGAGACCCTCTTGGACGATACCCTCGCTCACAGCAAAATTGGACACGCCCATTAGATGAAATGCCCTCGCGATTATCCAGTCCACATATGTACCCATTGAGGGGAGGAGGGGGAGGGGCAGGACACGCCCTCAGGCTCATCAAACGATCTACAGAAAAAATATTTAAAATGATATCACTTTTACATTTTTATCATTTTTCTCCTAATGCGCTAGTGAAGCAGGTGAGAAAGTGATTTTAAATATGTCAAAAATGATAACAGGATTATTAAATGTATTATTTCGTCTCACCTTTCTCTTGCTTCATGGTTTCGCTCAGCCATGATTCATAATGACACAGATCCATAAAGTATCCTGGTAATCCATTTACATCGCAGGACAGTCCATAAGTTAATACACCACAGAGTCTCCACTCACATATTATATTGAGTAATCCATCGTCCTCTGTTAGTATTCGTGCCGACTGTGTGACCAGTGGACTACCATGGTTCACGAAACACGGTCCTTGGTGACCGCTAAAAGATGCAATAGTATTTTGTGGATCCTTGACTCCAGCACAGAATATGCTGTTATTAGCAGGAGCACTGTCACCTAGAGCCCCATTGCATTGCTCATGAGTCCACATGTACAGATATACATCATGAAGAGGTTTAACTTCTACTGAAGAGTAGAGCCACGATCCACCCCAACCTGAGCTGAGGAATGAGTGGAACTTTCCTTTATCGTGTTTCATTTTATTGCAGTCTATCAGTTTGATGATGAATGATGAATTCACCGGAGCACTCAGATGCAATAGTGCCAGGTCATTCTCTCTCATTCTTACTCCCTCTGCTTTATACTTAGGATGAATGATAACTTTATCAGCTCCAATACGTGCTATTGGATTATTGTGGATCATATCATGTCTTAAGTCATTGTGATACAGTCCTATGTCAATGACTACTGAAGCATCAGAGCCACACGGCAGACACGAAGCAGAGGTGAGTACCCAGTCCTCGGAAACCAGAGACCCCTCACACGTGGTTAGACGTAGGTTACAGTTGATCCAAAGCAAGACGACCCACTGTCTTTCTCCTTGTGGTGACTGTCTACCAGCAATGCGACCTGAGTCACTGCCAGGATCCTGATTAACACATACTTGATTGGGAATAGAATAGACCGGGATTAAGGAGAGCAGGAACAATAATAATACTAATAATAATGATGATGATGATGATGATGGTACTTCTCTCATATTTGATCACTACACCACACACAGACCTGACCTGCACAGTGGCTTCCTCAAGCAACTATTGATCACTAGTACTACTGCAGCATGCAGTGATGCTGAGCTCTGAGGTCATAACAACAATAGTGACAATGTCTTCATTGTTCATGAAATATATCTGACAATGACAATTGAGGGAAGGATGGACTAAACAATAGTTTATGGCCTATAGATTCACATGCAATCAAGTCATCGATATAAACATAAAATGTGCATATTCATTCTTAAAAATATAAATAAAGAAAAATGTGGAAAAATTAAGTAATTGTATTTTATCGAGTGATTAAAGTTGCCATAAGAGTGCAATACAGTTCTCTCTCCTTCTCTCTCCTCTCTCTTAATTGAACACTTTAAATTTCAGAGTGTAAGCTATCACAAAGACTTCAACAACAAATGGCAGAAAACTACAAATAAAACGATGAACACTTTAATGATGAGCTGGAGCGTTGCATTCAGCATATGTGTATGTATATTATACTTACCAGAAAAATGCAAAAATAGTCCAATAGATATCGCATGACCAAACATCAACGACGTAAAGAGAGATAAGGATACTGCCAGTCACATGTAGCGCAATGGCTAAGAAATAAGAGACACACTAATAATGCAATAGTAAGGATTACATATAAATGCATCAATTTTAATCAAAATTGAATTTTTTTTACAAATTTTAAAGTTGCTCCAAAATCAGACCAAAGTCCCTGTAAAATGACTTGGTGAAAATTTTTAATTTTTATAATATTTTCTGATACATATACATGCACTTATGTTGTGTAGAAAGTTTGAGTTGATTCCGATCAAGTTTGGATTTTTTACAAATTTTTAAAGTTGCTCCAAAATTGGACCAAAGTCCCTGTACTATAGTACAGGGTTGTTGGCCGAATTTCACCAAAAATGACTTGGTGAGAATTCATCGTTTTATAACTTTTTCAGATACATATACATGTACTTATGTTGTGTAGAAAGTTTGAGTTGATTCCAATCAAGTTTGGATTTTTTACAAATTTTTAAAGTTGCTCCAAAATTGGACCAAAGTCCCTGTACTATAGTACAGGGTCGTTGGGCAAATTTCACCAAAAATGACTTGGTGAGAATTTTTCATCTTTATAATTTTTTCTGATACATATACATGTACTTATGTTGTGTAGAAAATTTGAGTTAATTCCGACCAAGTTTGGATTTTTTACAGATTTATAAAGTTGCTTGAACAAGTTGACGTACATAGAATGTTGGTCGTATTTGAGAACATTGATAGTCCAGTCACCAGCCCAACCACTTCAACTATGAGACAAGCAAGTGAAAGACTGACAGCAACCAATAACCTATAACTATATATTAATTGTCACTCAATACAATGATCATTACTGTGTGTCCTTGGTGCTATATTGATCAGAGCCAGGCACTACACCTTGATTTGTACAGGCTAACACGTTAGGCTCCTAATAAATACCGATAAAATAAAAATAGCAGATAGTACTACCTCACCCTCGACCAATAAAGCATAACAGTGATAACTAGATGAGCCATTAAAGCTAAAAAACGACAAGGAATGATTGTTGTTGTGGCCGCCATTTTATTTTAATTTGATAATGCCACACCTCCTTGACCGTATATTTTTAGTTAATTGAGCATTGCGAAATTTTAAATAATTAATAATGGGCTGTGCATGTGGCCAGTATCTATGCTGTGGCCGCCATTTTATTTTAATTGGGGCGAGCATGAGCGAAGCCCCTCAAATCATATGACTGCAAGTACTTAAGTGTGTGCATTTCTAGGAAGTCACGTACTCACGTTCCGCATGCTCGATGTTTATACAGATGTGTTGTTATAACATTTATCATTGATAACAAGTAACATTAAATAGAGATTTATTTGTTTCTCACAAGGTAGAGGAGTGGTCTCATACTGTCGAGCTGTTAGCATCCATTGCAATTCACCAACCTCAAGCCGCTTATGTGGCTCTCACTAAATCATTGCAGTGTGAGTGGACTTTTCTTCAGCGAGTCATTCCTCCCTGTAGTCACCTATTTCAAGCAATTGAAAACAGTCTATCATCCTCATTTATTCCAAACCTGCTCGGCCATGAGTGTTCAAAGCTTGACAGACTAGTCTATTCCTTGCCGACAAAGTTGGGTGGTCTCAATATTCCTCT